CTTGCACTGATTCCGCAAGTGACAAAGCTACTCCCACCTATGGCAATTCCGCGACGAGCGTTGGCCCTCAAGGGCAATCAGTCCCACTTACACCTGAAGAAAAGGGAGGGTAGGAAAGGTACAAATAAGGAAGGAGGGTAAGTGAAAGGGCAGAGTGAAAAGTTGGATCCTGATATAGAGAGAGACTGTCAAGCAGTCCGAGCAGCCAAAGGCCACAAGGGTAGCGGAAAATTGTCTGAACAAGCAGAGATCCACTGGCAATTTTCGCGGAGGCAGTGGCAAGCAGCTGAAGGCCGCCAGTCTGCTGAACAAACAAAAAGGTGGTGGCAAAGCCCAATTGATGGTGGTTTTGTTGAGATTGCGGCCAATGGCCGCGATAGCGGCGAAAGTGGTGATGTAGGTGATGAGATTGCGGCAGAAGGCAACGAGGTTGAAGGCGGCAGCTTCGCCACCGCTATGTTGGTGGTGAGGTTGCGGCCGAAGTAACCCCCATCCGGGAATAGGGATCGGATTGGATTGGAAAAAGAACGTTTGTGAGGGGTGGTGTTTGGGGTTTGGACAATCCTCACCTGTTTCTCACAAGAGATTTCTTGGAGAAATGGGAAAATGAAAGAAAAAGAATAGTGGAGATAAACTAACATAAACTGAACACACAAAAAGGAAAAAAAAACGTGAAACCAGCTTTGGCAGCGACTTTGTCGCTACCAAAGCAGCCAAATCATCCAAAAATTGAAGAAAGAGCAGCATCAATGCCTTCGACACCTCTGCTGTAAGCACAGGAAAAATGAAAACCACAATGACTCTACACAACCCTTGGCGCAAATACCGCTGACTTCAGGCTGCGCAGTACGCACTCGAACGACAGATTTTGCATGGATCTGCAGTGTATCATTTAACTAAGAGTTGAATCACCTCTAATGTGATTGACCTACTGTGGCTCAACTGAGTGCAAACAAATACATCTAAACTCTAATATGGCTTGATTGGATTTGATCCCAAATCTGAATCAGGTTACAGTTAGCAGAAAATGAGTTGCTGTGGTTAGGGATCACGGTTGGCTGGAAGAACCGTCTCTGTGGAGGCACAACAGCTAGAGCGAGTGGAGAATTTCATTTTGTGCTGATCCTACCTCGCGCCACAATGCGCCACGATGACCAGCGGCCTCCTCACTGCGGCCAAAAAGGGCATGGGCCCGCCGCCTTGTTTACTGGGAACCCAATTAATACCATCCCGGGCATGCAAGGCAACTTCCGCCAAGAGTATTTGATTGCAGGCCCTTTTTTGCGCCTGCAGCCTATGGGCTGCACTTCGAGGCTGAATGCCTCCACTCCTCCTCCTCCTCCTGCTCCTCCAATTCCAAACTTTTTTTTTCTTTTTTTTTTTCTCCTTTTTTGGCTGCCGTTTGTCTCTCCGCCTTCAACTCAACATCCACCACACACACCCAAGCCGCGCGATCGCGAGGCTATCCACCAACCTCCCACCGCAATCGAATCGGGTTTCCTTCATCATCGGACTCAAAGAGCACTAGCATGGCTGCAATTACCGACCACGCGATCCCTCCTGGTCACGACTCCGCTCTTGCAAATAAGCGTCTCCCCAACGCGGCTCACTCCGATCCTGCCGAGATCGATCCCTTCTCTCGACTGCCCTCGGAGGTCCTCCGCCTTGTCCCGGCCTACATCGCCGACCACCGCTCCCTTGCCCGCCTATGCTGCGTCTCCAAGATGTGGTCGACCCTCGCCTCGCGTGACGAATACTGGCGGCCCTTGTTCCTCGCCCGGTGGAGAGCGCCGAGGAACAACAAGAGCGTCGCAGTCGGCGCGCTCCAAGATGCACCCGACGCCGTGGCGATCGAGCACGTCCCGTGGAAAAACCTCTTTGAGCACCGCACAGCGCTGGACCGGCGGTGGCGAGTCGGCGACCCAGTGGCAAAGACGTTCAGCCTCCCTTCCGACACGATCCGCGTGTTCCTCCGTCCGGGCTGGCTCGCCGTCACCACCTCCGAGGGATCCACCGTCCTGCTGCGCACCGACGGCAGCCTCATCAGCAACCTCTATAGCGGCCGCCGCAGCATCTCGAACTGCGTCGCGGTCCACCCTGATCGCACCACCATCGCCACAGGGATGAGCGACGGCGAGGTGCGGTTGTGGGAGCTGGCGACCGGCGGGTACAAAGTATGTCCAGTGTTAATAATAACGGCGCAAATCCAAGAGCCGTCGGATGGGTGGGCAAGCTCTTCTTTGCTGCCTACGATAACGGAGTAGTGAACGTGTGGGACGCTGGGTCGCGCGTCTGGCAGAGAACGCTTGGAAACCAGGGGAGCACTGCATTTTGGGAAACGAACGGGGACCGCCTGTTTTCGCTTTCAAGCAACGGCATGGTTCGGATGTGGAACGCGTCAACCGGCGCTTGCGAACGGTTGGTGGTGCGCGGCGATCCAAGTCCCCCTCCAAATCCCCGTACCCAGTTAGTGTGGGCCACCCTCCGGGTCGACAAAGAGAGTCGCTGTATGCTGGATTGATAGAGAGGAGGTTGCCGTGTGGGACATAGAGTCGGGTGCCCTACTCATCAGAGTCACCACCGTCATGACTGGAGCTGACTTCAGTGGCTATGTGCAGATGATCGAGAATCAGCTGCTCATCTGACTTGAAGACGAAATCCAAATGTGGGACATTGCGTTGGGCCGGAAGATACGCTCTTTGGACAAGCCAAAAATGGATCTATATTTCTTCGCAGAAGTGAATAGAACAGGCATCAGCTTTTTCGATATGGTGAGTTGGGAACACGGACTGATGTTTGGATGTCCAAGCCTTACACTAACCTTCCTCGCATGTCCTCATCATTTCTCAATTTTCTGCCTCTATTCAAAACAAAGGTCAAGCGAGTGGGGATCTTTCATGATTTTGGAGCTGATATTCCCTACGCAACTTGCTTTTGAGTGTAGTAATTGGACAATGAGATATTTCGTTTCACTCATAAAGGGCTCGGCAGGGTCGCACTGTTTTCGATCAGCCCATAATATAGAAGTGCGCCTTCGAGAATTGAGCGCCGGTGTCCTCAACCACACTGTTCGGCACCCGCTGGTTGCTTACAGGTTGGCCAGCAGGGCAGAAACCAAAAGTTAACTTGAAGCATACGCTTCAACGGCAGCACTTTGTCCCACCTCGCAACCGTAGCGCTTCCCAGAAAAGGTGGGGCACCCTCCACGTCGACGCGGAGAAAATCGCTGCGCACTGGATTGGTGAAGAGGACATCACGGTACGGAACGTTGAAACGGGCCGCCCTCTGACCACCGTCGCGACCGGAGCTACTTTCAAAGGCTATGTAGCTCTCGGTGGGACGTTGCGTCGGGGCGGAAGGTTCGCTCGTTTGAAGAGCCGGAAATGCATCGTTTCGTCACTGAAGTGAACAGAACTGGCATATGCTTTTCGGACATGGTCATTCGGGAACGGGTGGTGTTTCGGAGATCACAGTCTCAACGCTAGCGTTTTCTCTTAATATCCTGCATCATTTCTCCAACCTTTCTGCCTCTTTAACCAACTCTCTCCCCAAAAAGGTTAAGCGAGCAGTTGGGATCTTTCATGATTTTGGCGCTGATATACCCAATGCAAGTTGCTTTTGAGCGTACTAAATGAACAATGTGTGACTTTCAAAACCTAGTTTGCTCCGATGGAGAAAAACAAAAGATCCCGCAAAGGTTCCGCGGAGTACATTTATTGAGGGCTCAAAATCATGGGAAGGTTGGTGCCAGGCAACGGAAGAAGCACAGAAAAGGGGTGCATTGAAATGCTCTGCGCTCTGAAGAGCATGTGTTGATTCCGTTCAAATACAGTGTGCGCGCGGCCCCGGGTCGGTCACTAGCGTGTTTTCCCCTGCTTATTTCCTTATTTTTTTTATTTTTTTATTTTTTATTTTTTTGGCGTTGACAGACGGTGCCACCCTGCTGGAAAATGCCCTTGCGAGGAAATATTGTGGTTACTGTTCAAAACCGAACAGAAGGCATTTTTTGGATTTGCACACAAAAATCTGCACAATTGAATCTGCACAGAACTTTCTCTTAATAAACACGTGATCTGTCAAATTCTCCCGGTTGCCTTGTCACCTTCATTCTCTCCTGCCGCCAGTGCCGCAGTCTTGCACGCCTCAGAAGCCTCCACTTCACCCGCAGAGGGACGACCTGGTCAAGAAGCAGTGGCCCAGCACTCCCAGTGAGGCCGACGATTTGAGTGTGCAGCCACCTACAACGTAGCTCAACCCACAGCAATGCTTGCAGGTCATTCCATCCTACTCCTTTCACACGATTGTTACCGGTGCCACAGCATGTCACAGTTGTTCCACATTAACCCATGCTGTGTGACCCATTCCAACATTCTTGTCGGTAACCTCAACCTGAGTCAGTTGTGGAAGTGAGGGATAGGTGCCAAGGTGTGTGTTTTTGGTGGTCGGTAAAGGGGGATGCCTCTCCACCACTATGTGGCCATAGACCGAGCCCTTGCCACATCGCATCTCACCCGCCCAGCTGTGGCAGTTGCATTTGCCTTGAGGTATCACAAAACTGAAGCATTTCTTATCTGTGATGGTGAGGTTGCGCAGCAGCCAAATCCTCACACAATCTGTGTCTGCTCTTCTATTTGTGTTCGATTTTCGGTGGAAAGGACAATACAAAATAGAATCAGTTTAAGGAAAAAAAACTTGACTTGTCCCGCCTTCTCCTGCAAACTCCAAGCCCGAATTTCAACACCTAATGAGGGATAGTTCTCCACCCTGAAGCGATCAAATAAACAGAGGCGTCCCCCCAATCAGCCAAGGGATCAAGAGATCCATCCTCACACACAAGTGATTGAACGAGCAATCATTCATCACAGAATCGAACCAAAGCTGTCCACTACTTCGAACAAACGATCGATCGTCTTCAGGCACCAGCAACAAGATTGACGATCCAAATTTGGAATGGAGGGAAACAGCCAGACCGCTTCTGTCCTCGTTTCAACGTAGTCCAACGACAATGGCAGGACTGGAACCTGCGCACCAAAAGAGTAACAGATTCCGAGTCTGTCGCCCTGTCGCCTTAACCACTTGGCCACGTTGTCCACAGGACCTAATACTCATAGCGACGCTTTGCAGCTGTGAGCAGAGAGCCCTCACGTGGAGTGAACTGTTGCAACAGCCAAACAGAAGCCAAACATCCTGAGACAGCCAACTGTAGAACTGCAACCCTGATCTTTCTGGGAGACTAAGACACCCTGTTGCATCACGCTGATGGGGCCAAAACTCCATCAAGTATGTGAGCAAAGAAGGGGCAATGGCTCTGGATCAGTTCCTGTTGACTTCTCGATGTGGAGCACAATGATGTGGTGTATGGCCTGTAACTACCAATGTGTGAATACTCCAACAATCGAGGCAGTGAGGTTCGAACCCACGGCATCTCGCATGCAAAGCAAGCAATCTACCGCTAATGTATACCCCCATCACTTGTGACATTAAACAAATCGTATAATATCAAGTACTAAAAACAATTAAACCCTCTTGGAGTCCACCAGAGTACTGGCCTGCTGCACCGACTGGTTGCCCCTACCATTTGTAACAGAGTATTTCTCTTTCTCTCCAAGTTGGGGAGAAGGACCACCCACAAACACACATCTCCAATTCATTCACTCCGTCCACTCACTCACTCACAGTAGACTGTTCACAGCATAGACTGGGAACCACTCAAAGGGTGCACAAGTCATGATAAGCGTCATGTGCTTGCATCAAATGTGGCCAAGTGTCTGGTGGAAGGATGTTTACAGCAAATCCATAGTCAGAGATCCCTCAAGAGGGAGAGACTACTACTCACTTTTGGCAATTGTCAGGACCAGGGCAGGACAGTACAAGGCAGACAAGGAACTGAGAGGAGTGATGATTGTATTGGAAACAATAATTCACTTGAGGGATGGGACAGGTCCCCCATCCCCCTTTTATACCTTTTGAGAGTCTTCCTTGTCAAGTCTCAAAGAAAGTTCCAGAAAGAGCAATTAGTAATACAATGATACCAATGATACCAATGACAACAAGACAAGTCAGGAAAGCAAAGAAGGTCCCAGAAGGTTCCACAAGGTTCCATGAAGGAATGTTCTAGAAGGTTCCAGAGGTTTCCAGAGGGTGATTCATAACAAGTCAGGTTGCGAATCCAGCATGATGTGTGGGGTTGGACTGTAGAAGCCTGACCAAGACAGGCACTTTACCCCATGCAAAGTTGCACTGTGCAGCATGTGCAACTTTTGCTACATTGATTGAAAAAAGTTTCTCCTCATGCAAAAAAAAGTGCAAACTTGCAATGCAATCACTTGGGTTGCTGGGGGGGGATACTTGGCCTGCCAATTCCAACTGACCATTATCCTTCCTTTAGCTATCTAAATGCCAAACTGACAGCAAGCACAAATTACAACAGACAGCATCAGTGGGCAATGTGAGACTGTGCTCTCTAACTCCTCACCTAGGGCTATAGGTGGAAACTAGAGCATGGACCTAAATACCAATCCTGACTAATGAAAAGGGGCAAAAGGAGGGTGTCTAGGGGCACTAGACAGGAAAGTGTATTTGGAGTCTTAAAAAGCCCAAGAAAAACACAAATAAATCTCTAACACAAAAGAGGGGTTTCTCACACCAAAGCATGAAACAGACACAATCACAAAAGAAAGCATAATCCTCTGGTGCAAGACACAGAAGGGTTTCATCTGGGGCACAAGGCCAAAGCCAAGTTAGACCAGAGACAGAACCGACTTGATCGGTAAGACCAACTGAATCGGTAAGGGGAGTGACAAGCCACTACCACCCATCAAAAGAAACAACAAAAGAAATAAACAACAAGTCAAACCCTGAGTTGGAGGGGGTTGGAGAGACAAAGGGCAGACACAAGGAACAGTTAGTGTGCAGAGGTGCCTGTTGAACCAAATCAGAACTGTTTTCCACTTAACAGAACCAGACACAACTTGTCTCACTCCAAGGAGAGTGTTCCAACTCAATCCAAGGAAGAGGGTGCAACCAGGGTGGGAGACAGTGGGACTCTTCTTGCTTCATCCTACCAGGAGACAGACCTCTGCCTCACCAGGCCAGAGAGAATAACCTGTCTTAGAAGCAAGGAAGGTCAATACCCACTCCCACACACAAGGAAGACACCAAAGACAACCACAGGTATTAGCATGAAAGGAAGAGGGTCTGAACCCAGCGAACCAGGCCCACCAAAGGCCAAAGGAACCATCACCAGGGACAGGGAGGAATACCAGAGAGACCATACCACCACATAATACCTGACCAGCCAACTCATTCATATCACCTTGAGAGACCTGGATTTGAAGTGATGTATTGACAGGAACCGGCGAGGCACTACCACAGTTTTACCCTCCCACATCATCAAGTAGCTCCTACCCCAGACCAGCCTAAACAGTATGTGCAGAATGGTGAGGTGCACTGGGACTTGAACCCAGCACACTGCCATAAATGGCCAAGAGAACCAATTCTCCTGTCACACACCAGGGGACTGCCACCCCCAGCTCATACACACAGTCAGAGAAGGAATAAGGGCAGGCAAGAAGACTTCAGGTACAGGTTCTAAGGGGCAACAAGAACGGGGGGTGGGCTGCTTAAATAGGAGAGGGTTGGAATCAGCAGGGTGAAGGAAGAAGGAAGGGAAAAGAGGGGAAAACATATACAAAAGAACAAAACAATAAATAAAACAACAAAGAAGAAAGAGGAGGAGTGAGTCACCAAACAATGGGGCTGAGCCATCAAACAAGGACGACAGCTCAGAAAGTCATGGGGCATTTCTTGGCATCAGCTGCCAAGAAAGATGGAGGAGATGGAGAGAGCTGGTTGGTGCAAAGAGGGACAGTCACTCACAGCCACAAAAGAAAAGAGAGACACACACAGAGACAACAAACAACCAAATAAATAAAAGATAAAACAGTAAAAACAGGAAAAACAGGATAAACTACTAATTGAAAAAATAAGTAAAAATCATCAATAAAGAAAGGAGAAAAAACCCTATGATCTCATACCCTTTCATGAGGCCTTTCATCATGGTAGCTTATGTAGCAGCTCTGTGTTAGCTCTGTGTACACCTGGACTCTGTACTTCTACCCACTGAAGCACATCATCCTAATCCTTTTCCAAAAGTGAGGAGGGCAAGGCTTAGTCATTGTGCAGAACTTAGCATTTCTGCATCATTCAGTCAATGACTGCCAGCATGTCTCGAACTTAGCACTTTTCCCATTGAAGGGAGCGCTCTACACCACTGAGCTAGAGGGCCTCTGGTCAAGAGTGCAGAGCAGCCTGAGCCATTCGGCCTGCAACTTAGTGCGTAATAATAACATGAATAATATACATGGCCGCGGCTAAGAGACAGTCCAAATCTCAGTGGTTCGGCTTGCAGGGACAATAATAACCCATGAAAATAATAAGAAATGGGGTCCAGCCGTGTTACGTCACTTTCGTGAAACGTTGTTTGGTCGAGTCAGATTGATAATCCTCACAAGTTATCAGTTAAAAAAGTGGGGTATACTCTTTTTATTTGAGGTCGCAGGCTCAACAGCCTGTCGTCCTCACAGCAAAGTCTCTTGCTCGAGTCCAGTTTGATTGGCAGCATCCTGATTGTTGCACCGTCATGTTGTTAATCCCCTTGCCATTGGTCCTCTTGAGCACTTGCCACCTGCAGAACGGTAAGGGGGGGGGGGGGGAGGGGGAGTGAAATGAAAAGACAGAACACACCAACTACAAAAAAAAAAAAAAAAAAAAAAAAAAAAAAGCAGGAAACGAGCAGGGGGGAAACGTTGACAGTCTTTAACACGTCTCGCTGCTTAGCTGAATTTGGTGTGGGCATATGGCAAAATGGTTACTGTGTTCGACTTCGGATCGAAAGATAGCAGGTTCGAGTCCTGCTATACTCGTGGACTGCTGGTTATACTTGGTTGTCTTCAGTTGCAGCAAGAGCACCAGGATTTTGCATGTGCCAAGTCAAAAGCAGCTTTAAGTAAGCATACTTCCAGCCAAGTTCATGCTTGAATACTGCAGTTTCAGAGGATCTTGCTGTCTTCCTGTAGGGTAGTGTATGAAAAGGCTTCAGGTAGGCCCAGTCGCACCACCTTGTTTGCCCAAAGGGACTTGTGGAGGTCCTGTTGGTGGAGTGGTTAACGCGGTGGCATTTCCCTTTGGGAGTGCAGGTTCGAATCCTGTGCAGGACGAAAGGGGGCTGAATGGCAGCCTTGTTACTTCACTTTATTTTTATTAACATTTATTTGTTTTCAGATTTTGTGAGCCTCTGGGGTTTGGGAGTCAGGGCCAAACTGGGTCCGACGTCTGAATAACAATCTTGCAGGTGGGCCAGCTGACCTTGCCCACTTCTGAAACTTGCTGCAAAAGTTTGAGTAGAGATGAAGTCCAAGTCTTCCTGACAGCACAGTTAAAGGGGGTGCCAGTGAGACCTTTGGTGCCCTGGGGCACAAGCTAACCAATGCTGTATCAACTTGAGCCATACAGTCAGACAGAAATGTCAGTGTTGGCGTGACGTCAACTCCCTGTTTTGCAGAAACACTGTGAGGGGATTCTAGTCTAGTGGTGTGATTTCTGCTTTGGGTGAAGGAGGTCATGGGCTCAATCCCCGGAATCCCCCGATATCCCACTGTCTCAGGCATGCTAGGTCGCCAAAGTACTGACTGATCCCATGCATGATTGCCAGAGCGGTGTTTGTGGAGCCAGTTCCGTGAGTTGTTTTTCCTAGGTGCTGGACCCAGCACTGGCGGTAGGGGTGGATGCAATTGGGCCAAAGTAGCGTTAACCATAACAGAAGCACAGTCATGCCAGCCCAAGCTCTCGTCATCAGAGTCAAACATTTGTGGCCTCAGTCAACAAGGCGGGTCAAGTCACAGAACTTGATCGAGTTCACGTATCCTTCGAGGGAGTACATGTAGGCGCAGGTGCAGCTATGGGTGTGGGCTTATGTGTAGCTGTATGGGCAGGCACCTCCATGGTGCTTGCACAGGCACAGCGTCTGGCACAGTGTCTTGCTGATACCCAGAGTTGCTTCAGGATAAGGCTCGGCGGTTTGCTTAACCAGAGTTCTGACTTGCATTGTTCTGCCCAGAAATGTTATGAATCACCCTCTGGAAACCTCTGGAACCTTCTAGAACATTTCTTCATGGAACCTTCTGGAACCTTCTGGAACCTTCTAGAACATTCCTTCATGGAACCTTGTGGAACCTTGTGGAACCTTCTGGAACCTTCTTTGCTTTCCTGACTTGTCTTGTTGTCATTGGTATCATTGGTATCATTGTATTACTAATTGCTCTTTCTGGAACTTTCTTGGAGTCTTGACAAGGAACACTCTCAAAAGGTATAAAAGGGGGATGGGGGACCTGTCCCATCCCTCAAGTGAATTATTGTTTCCAATACAATCATCACTCCTCTCAGTTCCTTGTCTGCCTTGCCCTGTCCTGCCATGTTCCTGACATCATAATTCACTTCACCCTCTCCTACTACTCTCTGCCATCATATCTGACCCAAACAAGACCTTCCCTTCCAAGCCTTGATGGACCAATTACAAGCCCTTTCAAGACAGACACACCAACTTCAAGAACAAGTCCTTCACCAGCAGCACCAGCTTCAACAACTTCACCAAAAAGAACTTCAAGCTCTTCCCCTGCCCCAAGCCAACCAAGCAAGAGAGCCCAAGGTTCCCAGCCCTGACAAGTTCACTGGGCTGGCCAAAGACCTCAGGAACTTTATGGCCACTGTGGAGAATGTCATCCTTCTCCAACCTTCAAGATTTCCAAGTGAGCAAGTCAAGGTTCTCTTCACAAGCACCCTCCAGTCTGGTCAAGCTCAATCATGGTACAGATCTCTCCCAAGCACACCCACCACCCTGCAAGAGCTCTGGAAGAGCTCTGGGAGAGGCTGGAAGCTACCTTTGGTGACCCCTACACATCTTGGACAGCAAGATCCAAGCTCAAGCATATCAAGCAAGGAAAGCAATCTTGTGTGGCCTACACCAACCAATTCAAGCAACTAGCCAGAGACTCTGGATACAATGATGCAGCTCTGATGGAGCTGTACCATCATGGTCTCCATGAGTCCATCCAAGACATGCTCTCCCAGTCTCTGCACATCCCTGAGACCTTGGAAGAGTACATTCTCCTTGCCATCAAGATTGACAACAGACCCAGGTCCAGGCTCACTGAGGGGCAATTCCCTGGACCCTCCTCCAAGCTGCCCCTGTTTCATCACCACCACCAGCACCACAAACACCTCAGATTCCAAGCCCCACCAACTCACCATGGATGTCAAGATTCAAGCTCCACAGCTCACAGCCTTTGCCAAGAACAGAACTCTCAGTCAAAGATTCAAGAATCACAGTTCCCAGTCAAGAATTCAAGCCCCACTGCTGAGGAGCACAACAACCTGGACCCATCAGACCTTTTGCTGGCATCCAAGCTACCAAAAGAATATCTCCCTTATGCTGATGTGTTTTCCAAGACCAAGGCAGACCTGCTACCAGCTCAGAGGCCTTATGACTGTGAAATCCCACTCAAGGATGAAACTTGCAGCCCACCTTTCAAGCCACTGTACCACCTCTCTCCACCAGAAGCCAAGGCCCTCCAAGAATACATTGAAGAAATGCTGAACAAGGGATTCATCCAACCTTCCAAGTCACCAGCTGGAGCTCCCATCTTTTTTGTCAAGAAGAAGGATGGGGGACTGAGACCCTGTGTGGACTACAGAGATCTCAATGAGATGACAGTCAAGAACCGCTATCCACTGCCTCTCATCTCTGAATTACTGGACAAACTGAGCCATGCAAGGATATTTTCCAAGATTGACCTCAGAGGTGCCTACAATTTGGTCAGAATTAAGCCCCAGGATCAATGGAAGACTGCCTTCAGATGCAAATACGGTCACTTTGAGTACTTGGTTATGCCCTTTGGACTTACCAATGCTCCAGCTATTTTCCAAGGCATGATGAATGACATCTTCAGGGATATTCTGGACCTTTTTGTCATTGTCTACCTGGATGATATCCTGGTATTTTCATCTGACACTGCAAGCCATATGGGACATGTCAAGACTGTCTTGGAGAGACTCAGACAGCATCACCTCTATGCAAAGCTGGAGAAGTGTGAATTCCACAAGACCTCCATTGAGTTTTTGGGGTTCATTGTGTCTGACAAAGGGATCTCCATGGCACCAGACAAGATCCAAACTATTCTTGAATGGAAGGCTCCAAATTCCATCAAGGATGTTCAAAGCTTCCTTGGATTTTGCAACTTCTACAGAACCTTCATTGCCAACTATTCTGCCATAGCCAAGCCTCTCACTGATCTCACCAAGAAGACCACCAAGTTTGAATGGACCCCAGCAGCAGAGCAAGCCTGGCTAGCTCTTAAGACAGCAACCACAAGTGCACCACTCCTTAAGCATGTGGATCCCTTGCTTCCCTTCACCTTGGAAACTGATGCCTCAGACTATGCCCTTGGCGCTGTTCTGTCCCAGCCAAGCTCTCAGGACCCCTCTGCTCCTCTGCATCCAGTGGCATATTACTCCAGGAAGCTGAACAGTGCTGAGTGTAACTACACAGTCCATGACAAGGAGTTGCTTGCAATTGTGGAAGCATTCAAATTCTGGAGACACTACTTGGCTGGTTCTAAAAACATCTCTGTCTATTCGGATCACAAGAACCTCACCTTCTTCAGGGCAAGGAGGTTGCTCAAGCAGAGGCATGCCAGGTGGGCTGAACTGCTCTCTGAGTATGACTTTAAGCTGTGCTATTCTCCTGGCCACCTTAACACTGTGGCTGATGCCCTGTCAAGAAGAACAGACCTTGCACCTGAAGGGGGAGATGGTTTCACCCCACCATCCAAGACACACCTTTCATTGCTTCCTGACAGTGTGTGGGCCCATGCTATTTCCAAGGACCCCAAGCCTCACAAGATTCAAATCAGCCAAGAGGAGGAAAAACTTGAGATACTCAAGACAAGGCATGATGCAGCAACAGCTGGACACCCAGGAGAGCACAAGACATATGAGCTTGTTTCCAGAGACTTCTACTGGCCAGGCATGAGGAAGTACATCAAGAACTATGTCAGCAGCTGTGAAACCTGTCAAAGAAACAAATCCAGCAGACACAAGCCCTATGGACTTCTGGAGCCCCTCCCAATTGCCATCAGCCCTTGGTCATCAATATCCATGGACTTCATTGTGAAACTGCCCCCATCCCATGGATTTGACTCTATCCTTGTTGTCATCTGCAGAAGGACAAAGTTGGCCCATTTCATCCCCTGCACTGAGAATATAGATGCACAAGGAACAGCAGACCTGTTTTTGCAGCACATATTCAGGCTCCATGGGCTGCCTCAGTCAATCGTCAGTGACAGAGGACCACAGTTCAGATCTCAATTTTGGAAAGCACTCACAGCAGCCCTTGGAATCAAGTCTCAACTGTCAACTGCTTATCACCCTCAGACTGATGGACAAACAGAAAGAACAAACCAGACTCTGGAGCAGTATTTGAGGTGCTATGTCAGCTATCAACAGGATGATTGGCCCACCCTCCTTCCACTGGCAGAATTTGCTCTCAACAATTCTCTCCACTCAAGCACCCAGCTATCTCCTTTCTTTGCAACCTATGGCTTCAATCCAAGAGGAGATCTTCTGGGACAAGAGACCCTATCCAATGTCCAAGCTCCTGCTGCGGCTTCACACTTACATAAGCTCAAGATCATCAACTCCTTCCTGGACTCCACCCTGAAGCAAGCCCAAGAAGATGCCTCAAGATTTGCCAACACTCACAGAATGGACCATGACCTTGCTGTGGGTCAGCAAGTTTGGCTTCTGAGGAAGAACTTGCAGACCAAAAGACCAAGTCCCAAGCTAGACAACCTCAAGTTGGGACCTTTCAAGATCTTGGAGCAAATCAATCCAGTCACCTTCAAGCTGGATCTCCCTGCATCCATGAAGATCCACCCAGTTTTCCATGTCAGCCTTTTAGAGAAGTTTGTGGCCAATTCCATTCCAGGCAGAGTTGTTCCTCCTCCTCCTCCAGTTGAGGTAGAAGGTGAAGAGGAATTTGAGGTTGAACAAATCTTGGATGCCAAGTGGTTTGGAAGAACACTCAAGTTCCTGGTTAAGTGGAAAGGTTACTCAGATGCTGACAACACCTGGGAGCCTGAGTCAAACCTCACTCACTGCCAAG